GGAAAACTAATTAGACCCAATTTAAATTATTATTATCTTTAATTACTTTGATTTCAATTATTTCATTACACAACAGAGAATAATAGATTATACAGGTAAGGAGCTGTCATGCACTAGAGCACTGACTCCTCCTTCCCAGGTGAAGAAGCAACAGGCTCAGATGAGAAGGAGGCTGAGCACCGGAGGCAGCTGAGACACTTCTAGGAGCCTCCATGACATGCAGGAGTCCCACTAAACTGAGTCAGCTCTCTTGCCATGTGACACAGTCCTGTCTTCTTCCTCAAACACAAACCATGAACTCCTCATCCCACAGTCTGTTCCAGCCCCTAAAATCTCAGTGCAATATATTAGTAATTTCAACCATGGTTATACTGAGGATCACTGTTCTTGTTTGTTATTTATGTTTCATATTATGTGGGTGGATGCTTGAGGCATTTTCTCTTATGACTGTATTTCAGCAAAACGCATAGATCTAGTACCCTCCATACTGAAGAGTGCTCTCCCCTCCCCTTGCTGAAGAGTCAGTTTATATTTTACATTTTAAATTGCGAAGTATATTGCCTCTTCAGTATGTGGAGGAAACATGAAGGGGGCCTGCACATCCTGTTGCTATTCAACATTATCCCATCATTGCAATTACAGGGATGGTGCACTAGGAGTTGCAATTTGAGAACCTGAGCTACACGTAAATGGGATTTAAGTGCTTATTTGTGCATAAGACTGAATCCAATACTACCAAAATGTCTGAAGGCTGGAGTAAAAGCCTACTATTATCTGAAGAGCTGCTGTTTGGTTACTACCACAGGTAAATATGGAAAAATTATGGGAATTCTCATTCCAATATAAAGACTCAAGGACAGATTACAATTATGTATTACATACAGGCACATTGAACACAGGGATGCTCCATCATCCCTCTGTTTGGATCATGAATTAATTGCAAACAACACTATCAAACTTTAGAAAAAATGTTTTTCAAATGTTCAAAATAGAATCATAAATGTTTGTACATGGGCATCCTCACACTGCTTTGCTTGTTCCTCATATGTCATCTCTGTACTAAAAAAAAGAGGTGTTTCAGTCCTGCGGTGGGAGTGGATAGGAAGGGAAGCTTCTTGATTTGACTCTCTATTTTAGTTTTGGCCATTTTGCCTGGCTGATTTAGTGTTCAAATCTGGATGCCTCCTCCCCCATCCATTTACCTAATGCGTCAAACAAGGAAAAAAAAAACCTCTTATATTTCAAGAGGTAGTTTCCTTGAATTTCAGTCCTACTGCAGTAAGGCTGGGGGAAAATATACGGCTATTATTTCAAGTTCCAGCCTTGCTCAATTTTTCTCACTGTCTGTATCCCAGCAGAGTGCATTGGTATTAATTGGATTTAGATGTTCCTCTGTTGCAGCTTGGGAATCCAGTCAGTTTTAAGTGGGCACCCCCACACTGAATGCTGTCAACTGCACAGGTGCAAAAGCAGTAGTCCAACTTAATTTTAAATGGTGCATGACCTGCTCACCATTACCCTGGGGTGTACACAACTGAAGCAAGTCGATAAATTGTGACCGCATGTCAGCAACAACTACTTGACCACTGAGCAGATGCAAAACTACTTGAAATGCTATTCAGTTTGAATTACGAGCAAATTGCTGAGGCAATGTTCAATTCAACATAAAATGGTCATGATGAACAAAGAAAGTTTGAATGCATTTTTTGTGTGAAATTCTTTGTATCCTTAGTTGCAGGTAGTGACACAGGAGTTACTCTTCACATGTAATTCACACAAACATTTTAACGAACCTCTAATTGACTTTAACTCTCATTCTGTTTTCACAAAGTGAGGAGCTAGCAACCTAGAGAAGCTAGGGGAGGCATTCAGCAAGAAATAGAATTGCATGGCTTTTCCTGAATTGCTCATTTATGTGAACATTGCCACAGTTAAAGCACTCTACACTTTCAAAGGGTTAGAGTTTTATGGAGCAAACAACAGAGTAGAAAGCTTTGAAATATCCTTACATGATGAGAAGTTACAGGTGACTTGTAAACTCACAGTAGAATTCATTCACCCATGGAGTAGTCAGTTATAGTAGCTAGCCATTTTATTTTACCACATCTTCACAAGTGGTGAGAAATGTAATGTAGTTAACCCCCTCCCCCACTTTGCTGGATTAAACCCAAAGTATATCTAATCTTACATTCTAATAGTTATGTGTGGCCCAATTTGTGGATATCTAGATCCACAGATTGGGCCCATCCTGACCCAAAACAGATGGTTCTGTAAACTTGGGGGAACCCCCAGGTTTGCAGAAAAATCTGAAAACAAAACAAACACATTGGAGGAGTTTAAATCTCCTCAAAGCAATAACTTACCAGAGGGCAGCAGTCTCCAGGCAGCCTCTTAGATCTTCGCTCCGGTTGGGGCTTCAGATGACTAGGCAGGTGCAGCTCCCCCTGACTGCCTGCCATTAACATGGCATCTCTCAGGGCCCTGCTGCCACCACAGCATCTCCTGGGGTCCCTGCTGCCAATGCAGCAATTCCCCCTGGGGGGGCTAACATAGTGGAAAGAAAAAGAGAGGAAGAGTGTCAGAGAAGGAGTAGGAGGAGAAAGGGGAAAAGATTTACATAGAATGGGCAAGAAAGGGCAAGTGAGGGAAGATTGGCTGAGAAGGGGTAGGAGGAGAGTGGGGGAAGATTGACAGAGAAGGGGGGGGGGAGAAAGAGGGGGAGGATTTACATAGAAGGAGTGAGGGGAGAAAAAGGGGGTAAGGAAAGATTGACAGAGAAGGGGTGTGGAAGAAAAAGAGGGGGACACATTGACAGAGAAGTTGGAAAGAGAAGAAAGCAAAGGTGGGAGGAAGGGATGCCATTAAGGCCTCCAATTGTTTAGCATTTATTTTCCAGCTACAGCTTGCTAGATAAGCTGTGTTTAATGGGAATAATGCATTTTTGTTTACAAAAATCCTTCCCAAGTTATTTACTTCTTGCCTACTCTTCTGAATTTTAGGTACCAGGTAACAACTCATACCCAGCTACAGGTTTAATGATTGAAAGAGTTCAGCCCCCAAATGCTAATCTTTAAAGCGAGCCAATACATAGTTTCTCTTGATGATTTAGCAGAATTTGGGCATGATACTCAAAACTGTGGTTGTTGGGACAGCATTCCCCCTTAAATGTCAAGTTTGTATCTTGGAAATGCTCTTTGGCCCAGCAGCCGGCATATGTAGCCTGGAGTGACTTTGACAACCACAGTAATTATACCAGCTGTATTGCCTCCTGGAAATTCACTACCTTCTGAGTTATCAATGCTGTAGTAAAATCTAGACTTGATGGCAACCTTTGAAAACTGATTTAGAAAGCGCTGATTGGCTGATTAACTGGAGCCCACTATAATGACCATATGACGCCTACCCTCAAAGAATTTCATTGCAATTAAATTTGTTTCTAGCCACAATTCCAAGTTCTGATTGAAGACCAACTCTGGTTGGGACCAGTGAATAATTCTGAGGCCCTTTTTCATTGGCCTCTATTTTTTTAAATTAGGTAGTGGCTACTGGAGAAAGGGCCTTTACTGTGGTGGCACTATTCCCTTCAGAAGGAAATTTGCCTGGCCTATGATCTACTATCTTTTCAGCAACAAGCACAGGATGATCTGATCATGTGGTCTCCCCCCCCCCATGGTGAATTAGTTATTGATTCCTTTTGATTTATCATTTTCTTTTTTGTCTGCTGCTTTATTTTATTTATAAGTTCTTGCAGTCTTACTGTTTTTGTAACCACTAAAGTGGAGTGGAGAGCAACGTACATAATCCCGATCCCTGGAGGAAGTGGTATTAAAAAAGGTAATAATAGTACAAATAAACTGTTTCTTTTTAAACTAATATTAGTAAGTGTTCTTTATAACAAAAATTAAGTTGTTGCCAGTAACCTCAAGACGGCTTTGCCCTATCTGAGCAGAACACTGCAAAGACAAGAGCAGGTTTGCTCCTTCATTGATCAACTGAGCAGATCAGGTTCCTACCTTTATATGTCAAATGGCTAGCCATTATTATTATTATTTTTTTAAATGGAAATTCAAATAAGTGCCTGTGAATAAATCTTGTCTAAAGGCAGGCCAGCTTATTCCTGAAGGAACACTTTTATTTCTTGGCTTGATAATAGGTCTTTGTTTTCTGTCCAGTACATTTTTCCTGAAGGCTTCGTTCCCGGTCAGGATGCCTTACAGGGCTCTCCTTTGTGCCTTTTCTCCTTAGAACAACCCTGAGATAGGTTAGGCCGAGGGAGAGACTGTTAAACAAATACAAATAAGCCATTTTACACATAGGTTAGCGGCCTGGCCTGTAGTTTCTGGTTGTGTAGCAACGATTCCTCCTACATCCAGACACACACACACCCTCCCCCAGGATCATGAGGGTTCTCTCAGCCTCCAATGTGCTCCCACTGCAGAGTAAGCGGCACTAATTTCCCCTATTTTATCCTCACCACAGCTCTGTGCCTGAGGTGAAGGCTGAGGCAAAGCGCCTGGCCCAAACCTCACCCAACAACCTAGACGGAAACCCTTATCTATTACTGGCTTTCCCACCCGCCCCTTCTGTGAAGAGAGAGAGAGAGAGAGAGAGAAACAGCAACTCAGAGAGAGATTTCGAAAAGAAGCCATCTTCTTTTCAACTCGGGCTCCGTTCCCCCTCCCGCCTTTTCTCAAGACAGGCCGGCAAGAAAGTTACGGCGGCGGGGCAGAGCGCGTGACCTGGGCGAGGGAAGCGTGAACGGCCGAGGAGGAGAGGCGCGCGGGTGCCTCCCCTTAACTGTCCCAGAGGAGGCGCGCAGAGGCGGGCGCGCGCCCCGTACAGCCGCTTGACCGCTCCCCCCCCCCACCGCTTTAGCCGGCCCAGGGATGAAAGGGGAGGAGAGTCGCGCCTCGCTGCCTTGGTAGCGGCCGGGACGCGCCGGGATCATCCCCCCCCCCTCCCCGCGCGCTTCTCGGCTGAGGGAGCGGGAGGGAGGAGGAATGCATCGCCCCGGGAGACTCGCGTGGGCCGAGAGGGAGGGGGGTCCTTGCGGGGCCGAAGGGGGCGCGGGCCGGACGGGAAGCGACGCCCCCTCTCGCTCCTCTTCGACGGGGCGGCTGAGGCATGGGGGCACCCGAAGGCGCCAGGAGGAGGAGGAGGAGGCGGCGCCAGGGGGCGAAGCCCAGCAGCCCCTCCTCAGGGGGATCTTCCGGATCGGCAAGGAGAGCTGCGACGTGGTGCTGAGCGCCGAGAGGCTCAGCTGGACGCCCATTCAGCCCGAGAGCCCCACAGGTGAGTCGGGAGGGGGAGGAGGGGCTGCTTTGGCGCGCCTGCCCCTTCGTGCTGCGACGGGAGTTTTCAAGCTGCAGCCTCCTGTTGTGGTTGTTTTTGCTGGGAAGTAACTTTTAAGTCCCGGCTGAACTCGAGGGTCGATTGTTATTCTTTGATTAATTTAAACTTATATCCCGCCCTACCCCACAGGTGGGCTCAGGGCGGCTCACAACATATGAAACAGCCATAAAACTGATAGTATAAAAATACTTAAATAATTTACACAGTCGAAACAAGGTGGCACTGAAAACACTGACAGTCCAACGTCTCTTGTAGGCGTTTTAAGTAGTCCCAGAGGGAGCAAAACACGTGGAAAAGGGGGGGGGGCGGAACCCAAAGGAATAGGGACAAACGTGTGACAAAAATGACAGTGCGGAAGTGGCCAAGAAAGGCTGCGGTCACCCACACTAAATCATCCACTTTCAATGCGTTTTCAGTGCACTTTACAACTGGATTTTACTGTGGCCCATTCTGCATCTAGCATTTGCTCCGCTGTTTTACCAAACCCTCTTGAGAACGCAAATTCCCCTCTGGTTTGCATGTCACTTTCACTTTGGTTGTGGGATTTTATGGCAGTGTCCAGACTGCATGCCGCTTTCACTTTGTTCCTCAGTTTTATGGTATAGACTTATGGCCGTTTTATGGCCGTTCAGGGGTGACTCTGCAATTAGTACGGCTTTTTGGGGGGGTATTTGAATGTGGTTTTGATCCACATCTTTTTCTGTGGGTTTGGTAAAACAAGGGAGAAAATGCTAGTTGCAGAATGGGCCACAGTAAAAATCCAATTGGAAAGTGCACTGAAAGTGGATTATTTAGCGTGTGTGCCTGCAGCCTGCTTTATAACAGTTTTCAAACAGATGATGGTAGGTTTGCCACACATTGTGCCCACCCAATTATTGTGCAGCTTCAAACAAACCCAAAGAATAATGTTATTTTATCAAGACTGACCAAAGTAGCACACGAAGGCCATGTAATAATGTATTTTATTGAGACCAGCATATGTGCAGGAAACGCACATGCATTCTGTATGTTCACCTGGCCATGCATGTGTTGTGCATGTTCACCTGGCAGTCAGTTTGTGAGAGAGGGCCAGATGCTGCTTCACTTAAAAAAATAAAACTGGAGAGCACTACGTCACAAACCTGGGGTTTAAATTGTGCATTTAGCTGTTGAGGTGTTGACTGCAACGCATGCTGAAGGAAAACCTGTGTACATGGATTGGATTGTGTACACTCTAAGTTGTGTACAGGATTTACAGTGTGTGAGCTTTCCAGTTTTTTTGGAATTTCTCATCAGGCTGGATGTTATGGGAAAAAAGAAGAGGGGAGAGGAAAAAGATCTTTCTGTCTGTGATCCTAAGGACTGGTTGGCAACCTGGATAGGATGTTCTGCTCCTGGTCCCCTTTCTCTCCTCTTTCTACATCCTCCCAAGTCTACCCTCTTCCTACACCTCTCCCAAGGAGAGCCAGTTTGGCGTAGTTGTTAAGAGTGCAGAGAACCAGGTTTGATTCCCCACTTCTTTACATGCAGCTGTTGGTGTGACCTTGGGTCTGTCAGAAACACTCTCAGAGCTGTTCTCTCAAGAGCAGTCCTCAGTAGAGCTCTCTCAGCCCCATCTACTTCACCTGTTGTGGGGAAGGGAAGGGAAATGAGATTGTAAACACCTCTGGGACTCCAGGTGAAGGGCGGGATATAAATCCAATTTCTTCTTCTCTTCTTCCAGACTCCTCCTCTTCAAGCAAGGGGGTTTGAGGACAAGAGAACAGCTTTTCATAGAGAAGAAAAGTTTTAGTAACTTAAAAGAATGAAATATATTGGCTGGGAACAAAATTCTAGGCTTGAACAATTTACCAAGGAATTTTCTCTTTTTTCCCTCATTTAAAGAAAAATTGCATCTGAAATCATAAATGGGACTCTTGTGGCACCTTAAAGAAAGGCTATTTCACAACATAAGAAGAAGTAGACTCCAATCCACAAAAACTTATTCTGGAAATAGAATTTTGTTAATCTTTTGGGTCCCACAAAATTCCTGTTCCAATAGGAAGAAAAGTTAAAAATAATTAATTTTATGTGGTGTTTGATATTTTTATTGAAAACTCACAAGAGTTGGTCAGTTTTCTAACAGTTTACATTCAAAACACAGATTTTCTTGTTTCAAAATTTTTGAACATTGTAAGGAACCATACTGTTTGGATAGATCTGTTCATGCTGTTTGTATTCAGTATATAAAAGGGGGACAGATGAATCTGCAAATGGAACTTTATTCCTCAGGTCACAATATGTTTTCAGTGTCTGAATGTCTTGAGTACTGTTTTAGAAACACAATGACCTCTGCCACTACAAACAAAAATGGCTTTGTGAGGATTGTTCTACTCCAGGATACTGGAATTTGGCATTTGGTAGAAATATAACCCAAATGCAATTTATGTCAGTTTTTGCAGGGTTGCTTAAAAAGGTAAAACAATTACTCCAACACCCATCATATACATGCACTCCAATTTAACGTAGCTTTACTTAGAAGGAAGTTGGGGTTTTAGGAGTGTATGGAAGGGAGGCAAGAAGGTTGCCCCGAGTGTGTCATCAGGATCTCGCACTGAAAGGGTAAAGGCAATCTGCCCAGAACAATAAGTGATATCTAATAAACATAGTCTGTCTGATAATAAACATTTAGAGTCCCCTGTAGAAGGTGAACCCCCTAAGATATAATTACATTAACTTAATGAGTTTAGAATTAAAAGAAAAATCGAGTATTAAATTGTAACGTTCAGAGTTCATTTGTAGCCACATAACCTTCCCAAGAGAATATTGAGCAAGGAACAGGGACTCAATGGTTCATCTGTTTTTGACTCACTGAATACTGAGCCTTTGATATACACTGAATACCCTTTTGTTTTGCGTTCAGTACAGAACCTTTCTTGATGTGGGTATGTGATTTGCTTGTGATTCAAAGCAATGAGCATCACTGCAGAGAACTGTTGGCTGTTATCACTGATTTTACTTCTTCATGTGGCTGCATACGCCAGTCAACTTGGAGTGATTTACAGATGACTGAAGCAGGCTATAGTAGTCTTGAAATCTCCTTCTTTCAGCCCTCTGTTTAGATGTAATCCTGTCAGTGTTGTGTTGGCAGGTAGGTAGGATAAAAAGAAACATAGGTTTTTTTACAGCGTGAAGCTGTTAATGAGTTTTTCGGGAAACCTGTGTCCCCTCTGAGCCACTGCCTCCCAGACTAGTAAGCAGTGCTCAGACTTGTGGGTCCCTGAGGTTAAAGGCACACAAGAAGACCAAAACCTTTAGAAAAATACACACAGGTTTATTGAGCAAATAAAGTTTCTACAGTTTCTACAGGCAACACAGTTTCTAGAGTTAATTAGCAAAGAACACAACAAAAACTATTTTTTTTCTTTCTGATACTTTAGTACTTGGCATTAACTGGCGCACCATTCAAAATTGCAGAGGCCAAGCTAAAAGCTTATGCGTCTGTCCCATGGGATCCAAAGTTAGTGTAGCCTCACCCTTATCTGTTGTGAGTCGCACTGAGCCCAGTTGTGGAGTAGGGTGGGATATTTTTATATATATATATCAGACGGTCTTCAGAATCCAATCATACCATTCATTCACTGGAGCCCTCCAAGAGATGGTGTGTTTTGCTCCTGGCTCCCCCCCTCCCATTTAGATACTGAACTGAGTGCAGGTTTTTCACTTAGCCAGTTACTGCATTCTGATATCAGGCCTTGAAAGAGATACAGATAGTATCTATGAGAAAAGCTAATTAGAGACACCTGCAAGTTGAAGCGGACCCACTATTATCCGTGTTAACCCTTGCTAAAACTAGGGTGCTTTGCCTCACAGAGCTAATGTTTACCTGGATCTTCCTTTCCAGTAGTGATTGACCAAAGCAGGGAACAGAACCAGGCCATGCTACTATTATTTTTGCATCCAGTTTTGTTTTTTCCATATCTTTTTTTATATAGCAGTTAACAGGCTGTTCTATAAATCTTGTTTTTCTGCCTTGCTGAAAGCAAGTGCAAAACAGGCTGTCCTTCATTATGAAGTTTAGGATGGTGCTGTTACTCCAGTGGCTCAACTTTTATGGCAGTTCATCTTACTGGAACATGAAAGCTCAGTACTCTGTCCAGATCGTGCTGTGCTGAACAATATGTTTTTGCTTTGTGTCATGAGAGGCTGCTTATGACGTCACAGTAGATCAGTCTGAAAGATGCTGCAAAACTCCTTTGTTTTTGCTCAGTTGCATGTAAATGTAATAATTAGATATTGGCAGATGTCATGAATTGATGTTACCTTGGTGAATAAATCACTTTTTATTGACATTACTTAAGCTGTTTTAGCAACACTTCATACATTTTGAGTTTTGGGATACACCTAAGGTGTATGAATATATTTTAAAAATGCAAGATATTGTAAATTTGCTTGTCAGAGAGGTAAGAATGGGCACGACTCCATGAATTGCCACTCTGTAATGTGTGAAATGGCTCTAAATTTTTGTTTACTTTATTTATTTTTACGTACATTCTCCCCAAGGGGGATCAAAAGCAGAACAGCATAAACATCTATTACTCTTGCAAACTGGCGTAAATTGTATTGTTGACAAACGTTTCCAAGGCTGTAAAGTTGTTTAGGATAAACTTGTCAGAATTGTAAGCGTATTGACATTTCAAAACATGTCTTTTGATATACCTTATTTTGCTGTGGCTGGTCTACATTTTTTTGTCTCGTCAGAAATACTGAGGTGTGAAATAATTTTAGTGAATTAATGAGTCCATTACCTTTGCCTGGTTTTTCTGTTATTTTCTGAAATCTATTCTTTTAGAGAGTTTCTATGGTGCCTCCCAGGGAAACCTGCTCATTTTATTATTGTTAATATTGAATCTTAAATGTTTAAAGAATGTATGAATAAAATCAGAATTTCTGTGAATTTCAAGCAATGTGTATTTGCATTC